AGTAAAGAAAACCATTTTTTTTAATTAAAAGTATATTCTTTGGAGATCAAACGATTTGAGCTGCACGATCAGTTGCTCATTTTTCGGGGTGTTTTTTTTTCCATGAAAACTGAAACCTGGTTCCTCTTATCTTAAATTTTGCTCGTAACACAAAGCAAAAATCTCAGACAATGCTGCTCGTGTCTCAAAAATCTCGTATGTCGAGGTTATCACTGTATTGGGGGAAAAGAAAAAAAAATGTCACTCGCTTAATTAACTTAAATATTTGTTGATTGATTATACCCATGAGACTTAACAAGAGTTATACTTGGTACCTCGCAATTAATCTAACCAATATGTAGCACCACTAGGCAAACTAGTAAAATAAAATGATACCCATTCGAACCTGGCGGTCCATGGTGTTCGTGAGGAAGAGTTTATCTGTTTCTGTGACCTCGGAATGTGACAGCGTAGTGTGGTCAGTACTACACCCCAATCGCGTTCACTTTCCATGACGTGTGTCAGGTACCCATTAGAGTTTGGTAGCCTCAGGGACGTCCTAAAGACTCCATCTAGGGATCCGAACTCGTGACTTCTGAGTCAGCAGTCGAGCACTAATCACATCATCAAGGCCTTGGTGGAGGACGACGGTGGCGTCAGTGGCGTAGCGAGGTCGGGTGTCACCCGGTGCGGCACTTAATGGTGTCACCCCCCCCCCCCCCCAGAGGCGTAGCGACCCTTTTCGGGGACACATTTTCGATTTGCACCCCCCCCCCTCCCCTTAAATTTCGGTTTGCACACCCCCCTCTATATATTTTGCTATTTTTGCATTGGTGTCACCCGGTGAGGTCCGCACCCCCCGCCCCCCCCCCCTCGCTACGCCTCTGGGTGGCGTTAGTACAACGTCCCAGCGTCCAACCACTTCCTGTTGTGGAACTGACGCTCGATGCAGGGTGGATAAAGGTGTCTGTACCAACTGTAGACTTAGAACCAGTGGCGTCACAAGGCGGGGTGTTTCGGACCGCACTGGGTGGCATCATTCAGGGAGTGACACCATGTCACAGCCCTTTTGTATGACTGGGTTCATGGCACGAACTAAAGGCAAATACAAACCACATTATTGGTGATTTTACAGTCTTTTATTGATATCAGATATATAGCAGCTACACTACTAGAACCACGACTTTCCGTTTCGTCATCTCCTCGCGCTCTATCTACTTCTCTCTGCTTCCTTTCCTTAGCGCATCCACTCACCCATCCTATATTTTTATATTCATATCGCCTTTTTAAGATACATACTCGAAACATACATTCATCTACATTTAACTGTTACACACCATAATTTAAAAAATGGAAAAATGTAATATCTAAACAATGTTGTATTCCGTTAAAATAATAAAATAGTAGCCGTAGGCGGGTGATACCAACCCCGAAAATGCAGAACTTTTAAAGGGGGTGGGGTGACACCCTCAATAACTACAGCAGTTGACACCCGACCTAGTGACGCCACTGCTTAGAATACATTACAACCAGATACAGACGACGCGTACTTTTCCTACCACGCTGAGCTTCCAATACGACTACGTGCTCTGTGTTAGACTTAGGTTTTTAATATAATGCCAGAGGGTTGAGACATACAGTTGAAACGTTATCACGTTAAGAATAAGTGATGAGGCGTAAACGACAAAATGCAGTGTTTGGACTAAATACCACAACGCAACCACACACAACACAGCCACACAGAATGCAAACACACTAACAGCACACCAACATGCAGTTTGTACACAATAATACACCTACATACCCACACATTCAAAACACCTAACACCTACACACTCAAACACCAACACACCCATCCATTCACACATCTACACACCCATACACTTACACATTCATACACCTACACACTCAAACACCTACACATCCACACTGGCAACTAACCCACACACTCACATCATCTACCCACTTAGACACCCATGAACTGCACATCCCATTTCCCCCCTTATCGATTTTAACCCCATCAATGAAGTATATTCTGTAGTATCTAATCATCCTGTACTCTGTCCCTACAATCTATCTTTCAAATACTCACAGACTATAGACCTACCCGGTTAGCACTGCTACTACTAATATACTCGTTACAATAAAACAGGGGCGGTGATCAAATAATTAAAAAGATGTAAGGCTTGTTAAGAGTTATTGTTGCTAGAATGGGTCAAGTCGCAGCAAAACAAACGTTACTAAATAACGTAAAAAGGGGAGTTTATTAAATAATAGTAAATGACATTGCATTATAAGAGTTGTGGTTACTTTGTAAATCAATCAAATATGCTGAACAAAAAGTGTATAATAATTTTGACATCATTTTATTTGATTACACTGACTATTAATAAAGCGGCTGTGAGCTTTCCTATACTCTTTTTCGTGTAAAGGCTGGGATGGTATTTCTAGTAGAAATCGGCTATATGAATCGCAGATTAGTTAATGACAAACCGATCGTTTCTGGGAAAAACACGTAGATTCAAAAAGTTCACTGAACGGGCTGCCAGATGATGTCAAATTCTGAAATTCTGAACGTTTGTGGAAAAACAAAAATAGAATAAAAATGGCCGACCACTTGCGGTTACCTGCTCCGTTCTTAATTTTAGTGTTGGATGGGATTTCCTCCAAGACAATACGTGTCAACTGGTTATGTACCATTTTGGTCTGCTTTTTTGTGTGGATTTGCTTACATAGCCTTTCCCAAAAAGCAGCAGTTGTTTGATTTTAGAAGAATGGCTGTCTCCAGTTGTGCAGGGGTTCAAACTCGGGACTTACCGGTTCAACAACCGTGAGCTTCACCGACTCGACCGCCCTGACCACCTTTACTAATTGTTAGAAAACGACGTAATAACTCAATACTGACTCATGCAATTTAGTAAACCTAACTATATAATATGCGAAACTCTAGCTGTCTTGTTAACATACAGAAACGAATAGACAGACAAGCATTCAGACAAACATACAGACAATATTGCAATACTTGGTTGTTTTCTGACTCAGGTGGAGTAAAACGTCAGTACTTGTTTTTTCTGTGTAGATGAGGAAAAATAAAGGGAAGTAGTCCAATAATTGAAACTATGTAAGGCAGTGTAAGAGTTATTCTACTTGATAAATGTATCCAGTCGCGAAAAAAGAAACGTAGCTTAATAAAGTAAAACATTTTAAAAAGGGGAGTAAGCCATAAAATAATATTTGACTTAGCATTGTTAGTATTATGGTTACTGTGTAGACATACTTCGATCATGATCGATCAAATAACTGCGTATGAATAAAGATTGTTTAATACTATGTTGATGTTATTTTATTGTATTACACCGTTTGTCTAACGATAACTCCCTCCTGAACTTATTTTGTTAATCACTCAGAGTGAAATACTAATACATTTGCATGTTATTAAAGAGCAAGTATACTCACCGTTTGAAAAATTTACATAAATTAGCTATGTTAATACTATACTGCTACAAGAGTTGAAACGTTTGTCTTAATTAATTTTTTTTTACCTTATATATATATATAGCGAGGTCGGGTGTCACCCGGTGCGGCACTTAATGGTGTCACACCCCAGAGGCGTAGCGACCCTTTGCGGGGACAAACTTTCAAGTTTGGATTTGCAATCTCTTCAAACTTTCGATTTGCACCTCTTAAAAGACTATTTAACACTCGAATTAATCACTTAATTAATTGGAATTATCATTTTTCTCTATATATTTTGCTATATTTTGCCTTGGTGTCACCACCCCCCCCCTTAATGGTGTCACTCGGAGCGGTTCGACCCCTAGCCCCCCCCCCCCCCCCTCGCTACGCCTCTGCTTATGATACAACCTTTTTATTTTATTTTTCAACTTAAATAACATGGTATTTTCTTTAAAGCTCCTAAAGCGTATGCTACTTTTATAGATTCACATTTCTGTCTCAACTATTATTCCTAAAAATTCAATTTATTATATATATTTTTTCTTTTGGCAGTATCAGTAACCTTTGTTAATACAAAATACAGAAATAAGTGGCTTTTTTAATAATACGCTATTCAAAAGAGTGAATGGCACAAAATGAGTCAACTTTATTATGATATGTTGTTCTTATTGATTATTTTATACGTTGCATATGTGTTCTATATTTTAAATATTATTTAATTGTTCAAAAACACCGTTGCTAAATTAAACGTAGTCATAACAAGTATTTGCATTGCTGTAAAGCATTTTTTTTGTCAATTTCATTACACACGTTTCATTTGTTTAAAAATTTAGGCAACAATTTAGATAAAAAAGTATGTGTAAAAGTAAAAATAATTAAAATAAATTAATAACGTTTGGAATAATTATTGTATTTTTGTCTGGGATTAAAAAAACAGTAACAAAAGACAGCTAAACGTATGTAACACATATGATATTTGGCGAAATGGTGCGTAGATCCCAATAACATATAAATAAAAAAAAAACACCCAATGCCAAATGCTATTCTTTTCAACACTGTGATCACCAAAGATCCAATAATTATTACCAGGTGTTTCCTGATATTACAAACAATTATTCTGTCAAGAACAGGTGCGACAATTCTTAAAAAATACGTTTACGCACTAGTTTTGTGAAATGCTGGTCTAACAATGAACTCATTACAGTGCTTACTTGAATGGTATAGTAAAGGATACTTCTTTAGCCTCTAGTACAGAAGGAAAACGGACTAGAGGTTCACCAGCTTCAACAATTTACTATTGCAACAGAGCCGGCTAAAAAAATGTTCACAGCCAAGCGATAGCTCATCACCTTTCAACTTCTCTCATCCTCTCATTCTTTTCCATCCTTAACTAATTTTTACTATCCTCAATCTCCCACCCTCTCTCATTCTCTCCCCCACCTCTCCCCCTCTACCACCCTCTCTCACCCGGTCTCACCCTCACTAACCCTCTCTCACCCTCTTCCACCCTTTCTCACCCTCTACCACCCTCTCTCCCCCTACCTCCCTCGCACCCCGTCTCATCCTCCCATCCTCCTCTCACCCTCTTCCATCCACCCATCCTCTCCCATCCTCTCCCATCCTCTCTGACTCTCCTCTACACCAGGTTCAGTCAGCCGTTGAGTCTGGAGACCCCAGCATCAACAACCCGGCAAAGCTGGTTTTGTTTTCATAGCTGACCAGACCGTGACCAGAGACGTGGATGCTGATGACGTCACCATCCAGGAAGTGAAACACGCCACCTGAAGACAGACGGATCCATAATAGAGACATCGTTTTTATTTTTTTTTAATAGTTTTTTTTTTAATAAATTTGTGCAAGCGTATTTTTTAAAACACACGGGATATTATAAATATCACTACAATAATATAATTTTTATAATAATATAATATTATAATCTATATATATAATTCTCTTCTGGGAGCCGTTAGAAAACAAGCTGCAAACGCTCTCCCTACCTCCCCACCCCTACATGGTTTTAGTGAGCTGTGTTCACTCTAAATGTTTACAAGCAGAGCCAACGATTTTAAAGGTAGGGGGGGGGGGGAAGGGGGGGGTTATGGTCCTTAACGAGCTACTTATAGTGTTTTAAAGAAATATTTTCAGTGTCAGCGTTGGTACTGCCGAATTCACAAATTATGAATTATTGAAAATTAGAAACAACTAAATAGCGGCGTATGTTATGCCGCGGGCCGGCTCGTATAGTATATTATTTTATAGATATTATGTTAACATTAAAAATTTAAAAGAATACGAATAACAAATTCATCGTTTCTCATATAAACATGTTGAGTTAATTAGATAATAGTCGATGTATTAAATCAACACTGCCTTGTAAATGATTGAATGATGCAGCAATGGCGGTGTGGATATATATATATATATATATATATATATATATATATATATATATATATATATATATATATATATACCCATTTTAAATATATATACATACATATATATATATATATATATATATATATATATATATATATATATATATATATATATATATATAAATAAATCAATATATATATATATATATATATATATATATATATATATATATATATATATATATACATAGTGGGCTAAATAGTGTGTGATCCTTAGCTGCCCTCTCCCCTCATCAAGCAATGTGCTGAAGCCGCCTATGGATGTGAATCTCACCTAAGTAACTGGTCTCGTCCTGTGCGGCACATTCGTCACAGCAGGTGTAGGTTGTCTGCAGCAGGCGTCCAGTGTGTGCTGGGTCATTGACCCTTGTCTTGTGGACGTAATGTCCCCAGGTCTGGTTTAGTTGGATGTGTCAATCATGATAGCATTGTTGTTAAAATAGACTGTAGCCTTATATATATATATATATATATATATATATATATATATATATATATATATATATATATATATATATATATATATATACACACATATATATATATATATATATATATATATATATATATATATATATATATATATATATATATATATATATATATATATATTGAATCTTTATTTATGCAGCATTTATTAATTTTATATTCTGCGTATCGTCCATAAAACACATCACCCAATTAATTGGAGTAGAAAGAAAAATTGGAAGAAAGTGCATACTTTCGTGACTCTAAGCTTCAGGTGTAAATAGAGGTGGTTTTAACATGTACATATGCAATTTGCGTTTCATTAAAAAAAGACACGCTGCAACGTGTTCATTTAAACATTTTTTAGGGATAGAGATTATGAATTATTTGCTCTTTTTAGGTTGGGGTTGGGTCTGGCTTGATCTGATGGTTTTTGGAGAAACGAATCCGACTCGGTGGTCGGATCATAGAGCTCATGACTGGAAAGCGAAAAGTCTCGAGTTCGGATCGAGGGCACGGGTCTGTCTTTGAGGGCGTCCACAAGTCCACCCAGCTCTATTGGGTGCCTAACTCACGTTAGGGAAACTAAGACGGCAGGATATAACGCTGAGTACGCTTGTTCTGTGTGATGGGTCTTGGGCATAAACGATAAAAGAAGATAACACTGGCGATCGGAAGAAAGATGATGAAAATCGCCTCTTTGGTTTGTTACAAGCCCAGCCTACATAGGCAGAACTATATATATATATATATATATATATATATATATATATATATATATATATATATATATATATATATATATATATATATATATATATATATATATATATATATATATATATATATATATATATATATATATATATATATATATAATTCTCTTCATGGGGATCATACGAGACACAAAGACGTAAGCTCAACAAACCATATCGCTACCACCCGCCACCCCCACTCCCACCAGTCTGGTGAGCTGTTTAATATCGGGTCGAATTAGTTACGGCTATTATGGGCAGATAATTTAGTTTTTAAACTATTTGATACTAAAGGGAGGTAATAACACGTTCTGCTTGATTTTTTCATTGTCGTCTGTAAATTTGTCGTCATGGATGGCTGCTTTCACTGGGGAGGGGGGGGGGGGAGAGGAGTGGAAAGTGAGGGTGAGGATAATCGTCCTTCACTAGCTACTGACAGTGTTTTAAAGCAAAATATTTTCAGTCGCAGCATTGGTAGTGTCGAATTATCAAAATATGAAAAATATAGAACAACTAAACAGCGGCGTATGCTACGTCGCGGGTCAGCTCGTATGTTTATAAAATACTGACCTGAAACTTGAACTCTTTGCATGGTTGATTGGACTCTGGCCGGAAGCGGATGTTACTGTAGACGTAGTACATCCCTGGCTGTTGTATACGTAGCCCGTAGGTCAATACCTCCACCCCCCTCACATGCTCGGTCTGGGGGGAGGGGATGCAGTTGGCGTGTTCAAACCTGACCACAATGTTTTTACCGCTCTCGAACTGTGGGGCTATAGAACAAGTAGAAGATGTTAATTTTGTTTTGTTTTAAACAACAATTGAAAAAAATAAAATTTCGACAATAATAACCGAGTGTCGGGGTTGCTAAACCGAAATGTCTCGAGTTCGACCACTCTAAAATCAAACAACTGTTGCCTTGTAGTTTGTTCTTGGTGGGACAAAAGGCAATCGAAGGTTGAAGATCGGAGTCAACTATATATAAAAAATTTTTTTTTTTTAAATATAAACTCTTTTATTTAACATTTTACACTCTAGAAAAATGCCAAGAAACTGTTTATTTTATTTCATTATTTAAATATATATGTATTTTGAAAATAATTTTATGTTAGCTAAACATCTATGAGTAAAAACAAAATTAATAAAAATATAGCAGACATTCAAACATATGTTACCTCTGTTTTCATTGGGCTCTGTAAGAAAGGCATTGATTGGTGGGCATAGAGCTCTGTGGGCGGAGACTGGGCTGAATTGAAATTTGCTCACATTGAACTCGGGTAGGGGAGCTGAAAGACAACCAGATATGTTGAGGTCTTTGGTTCAGTACGTGTCTTAAAGGGAACACACGTGTCAGTGAATGAGAAGTTGGAACAAAAAAAATTGATCTTCGCCTAGTATATGGTGTCACACACCAGACAAAGAAGTGATGTCCTATTTAGACGTGCCTTATTCATTCAATTTTCTTACCTTCCAGGGTGTTGTTACGACGCATGCTCTAAAACAAAAAAAAAAGGATTTCAAAAGGTCGGAAACAATAAATCAGATCGTAAATATATTTAAATATTCAATACAGTGGCCTATACGTCATGTTAAACTAGCTTCATTAGCATAAAATCTGAATATACCCGTTTCTAAAATCTAAGTTTATAATTTATATTAATTATCGGGGCGGCGGGGGATCGTATGACTGCTATCTCCAACAGTCCTGAGTTCGAACCCCTGGACAGATGAAACTTGTTAGCTAGCGACAGTAACCCATCTATGCGAGACAACTCCAAAACAAACAACTTCTGCCTTGCAGTTTGTTCTTGGTTAAATAAAGGCTATGGAAGTAAATCCGACAAGAAAAGCAGTCTGAATCGGAATCAACGGCCTATACGGCGTATACAATGTAGAATAGTACTACTACTATTAGTATGCATATACTTAATTATAATACAGGAAATGCCCTTAAATTTTACAAGTACGATCGAAGAAGATAAGGAATATTTAATCTGATTAAAAAACCGTCTAAATTATCGTCATCACACTTTTCGTTCTATTTAACCTCACGCGCCTCACCAGTGCCATGAGAGCTGACATCTGAGAGTCGTTAAACGCGCAGCACATGTCCCCGCCATGTTTTCTTGGACGTCTCGATAATGTCCTGAGTAGCGTGTCGCTAGCCGAGGGGTCTTGCTGTGTGACAAACTTTGAACAAGACACACACGCTATGGGCTGCTGCCATGGCTGTGAAAGAAAGCAAATAGTTTTACAATTTCAGAGAGGAACAGAAGACTCTTTAGCAGTGGCGTCGCTAGGTCGGGTGTCACCCGGTGCGGCACTTCGTAGTGTCACCCCCCCCCCCCCCCAAAAAAAAAAAAAAAATATATATATATATATATATATATATATATATATATATATATATATATATATATAAATATATATATATATATATATATATATATATATATATATATATATATATATATATATATATATATATATATATATATATATATATAACTAAATTTGTAGGCCTACTTAAAAAAATTTGGCAATTTTTTTTTCCCTGGTGTCACCTCTCTAAATGGTGTCACCCGGTTGCCGGACCCCACCCCCCGCCCCGCCCTCGCTACGCCTCTGCTCTTTAGTGATACAATACAAATGCAACAATATGATAGTTAATTGTAGTCCTTATGGTTTCCCGGTGGAACATAAGGCCTTAGGTGTCACTCTCCGTGGTATTTTGTACCATGGGTAATCATAGCGTCCCCAATTTTAGTTGTTTTTAATATTCTTTGCTACCACCATATCATTATTTTTTCTAGATAAGGGTTTCTTTTATAAAGGGGTTGTGGTGAATGTATTCGGGGGTGGGGGTGGATGTATTCAGAGGGGGGGAGGGAAGTCCCCATGTAAAAATGCCTAAGGGAAAACGTGACTTTAAATACGAGGTAAAGTAGTTATAGATCCTTTCCAATTTTAATATTACAACTACTTACTTTATAAATAATTAATTTGAACTGTGTAAAAGGTTCTTTGACAATATCAATCCAACTATATAAACTTGATAATTGAGAGGATGTGATCAAGACAATTATGCAATTCTTCTAATTATTAATGATTAGTTTTTTAAACAATTTTGAAGTAGGCTAAACATTAACTATGTGACGGCCGTGGCCTTAGCGGTAGAGCGATAGGCTGCTAAAACCCGAACGTTTCGAGTTCAAATCCTGGGTCTAAGTATGTAGACGTCCCTGTGTCCAATAAGCACTAATGGGTACCTAACTCACGTTAGGCGGCTGGGCAAAATGCTGACCACACCTTCCATTCACATGCCCGAGGTCAAGAAACATATGAACTCTGACTTCATCTGCCCCAATTGATCGTTAAGTCCGAAAGAGGATTCTTTTTTTTTCTTTTTCAATATTAAACTAACCAACCTTGAGTGCTAGTGATGTACTTATAAGCCACTGCGCGAAGACCACTAAAACTCAAAGCAATGCGACAACGTCACCACTGCTCAAAAGTATCCTAGTGGACAAGATATGAATATCTGATATATATATATATATAGATATGTTATGTATATATATACTTATACTAGTATATATATAATAATATAATATATATATTCTATATATATATAATATATATATATATATATATATAGTATATATATATATACTATATATATTTATATTATATATGATTTTTCAGGCATCTCTTCGGGCCGGGGGGGGGGGGGGGGGGCAGAGAGCTAAAGGCCACCCCCCTCCCCCCCCCTCCCCCCTAAAAAGTTCTACTGCCCTCCCTCCCCCCCCCCCACCCCCGAAAGAAATGGAATTTAAATAGAAAACATACAGTATACCCAGTTGTCGCTCTCCTCCCCCCCCTTAAAATTTAGTCCGCCCCCCTCTGAAAATATCAAGTGCCCCCCGGAGAGAAAAAAACTCTGGAAGAAACACTGGGCTCGGAAAGGTCTGAAAGTTTAGACTGTCGTGGTCTCCTCACAACGTGGTCGGGAGGTAGAACTCACCGTTACGTAACCCAGTAGTTTCGTGTTGGGATCCCGGACTCACGTCTACCAGACGTCGCTATATAGAATGGGTACCTGACGGAGTGGTCTAGCGGTAGAGAGCCGGACTGCTAACCCGAATCCGGGTTCAAGTCAGTAGACCGTCCCTGAGTCCACCCAACTCTGATGGGTACCTAACTCACGTTAGGGAAAGTTAAGGCATAGTATTTGACCACACTATCCCTTCACGGAAACAGTTGCACTCTACTTCACCTACCCTACTTGACCGTCAGGTTTTGGCGGGTATAGAAAAGGGCTGTTTGTTAAAACAAACTGTTACTACTACTACTACTACTACTACTAAAACTACAAATAAAAAGAACAAGAAGAACAAGCAGAACACCAAGAACACCAAGAAGAACACGAAGAACACGAAGAACGCGAAGAACACGAAGAACACGAAGAACACGAAGAACACGAAGAACGACAAGAACACGAAGAACACGAAGAACAAGAGGAACAAGAGGAACAAGAGGAACAAGAGGAACAAGAGGAACAAAAAGAACTAGAAGAACTAGAAGAACACGAAGAACACGAAGAACACGAAGAACGAGAAGAACGAGAACAAAAAGAACAAGAACAAGGAGAGCAACGAGAACAAGAAGAGCAAAAAGAAAAAGAAGAACAAAAAGAACAAGAAGAACAATAATCGAACACATTTATATATAATTAAAACTTAGACCCAATTAAATCTCTTTACCTCAAATGTACTTGTATCTTGTCTGTGCGTTCCCCATCCTCTGGTCCACTTTTCGCCATTGTATATATCAGATTCAACTTTACTGTTTGAAAGTCTTTTCCAGCAGCGGATTAAATCTTTCAAGATACAAAATTTTGTTTCCTTAAATGAAAATTTAAAAGTTGCCCACTTTCATTACACCGCCCCCATCGTGAATCTACTTATTCTACAAGTGGCTTAGCTATGAGGATATAATTAAACGGGAAAACACCGATCTATTTTTAAACATTACTAAAAAAAGATACTGGTTTTCCTTTGTTTCTATTACAAAGTATGCGTGAATCACATACCTTTTTCATGAAACATACCTCTTTTCATGGTAGTAATTGCCATGCAAACATAGTATCTATTTCGATGTTACGGGATTAAATTCCCTGTTAAAATATAACATAGGAAAATATAGATAACATAAATAGGTACTACTCTATCCTGTTTCTCTCAAGGACATAATTAGGTCGGGACGGGGGAGGAATTAGTTTGCCCTGGGACTTATGGGTTTGGTTTTCTGTTTCTTTGATCAGCGGGTAAACCCTAATGGAGTTCTGACTCCTGGTTTGGGGGATGGATTTTTGTATCGATGTGACGTGAAGGAGATTGAGGTATGTGTGAGAGGAGGGTGGGGGGTGGGAGGGGGAGGAGGGTGTTTATCAAGTAACACGACATGCTGTACATTTTAGAAAGTCGTTTTTTTATTTAATAACTGAATACTACAACGCAATTTCATAATTTAAAAAAAGTTAAATTGTGATAAAACATGCCGATGTGGCTTATCTTTATATCTTGATTCATTTCAATTAATACTTTATAAACACAATAATGACAAACACTGGATTAAAGAAAATTGTGTGTGTGTGTGTGTGGGGGGGGGTGGCTGAAGTGTGACGTCAGCCTTTGTGGGAAGTGGGTCGTCTGACATCTTGTGACACTATTTTAAACCGACCCCGTGACAACCCAGCTAACAATTTATAACTCACCATCAGAGTGTCTTTCATGCATCTCTTGAAGCCCCCCCCCCCCCCCCCCCACACGACCACCATAACGAAAAATAATTAATACAGATATTATATATATTTTTACCCGTGTCCGCTCCGGCTCCCCCCCCCCCCAACCCGGAAAATTTAGTAAGCCTCCACTCCTCCCCCCGAAAATTTCAAGTACCTTTATCTCTCCTCCCCCCCCCCCCCCCCCCAACTACCCCATGGCTCACTATCTATTCTACACACGCCATAGCGCTGATCGTTTCACAAACTAAACGTCAACTTAGTTTTTATTTTTAACTTGAATAGGCTGTGTCAGCAAGTCAATACACTATCTGGATATAACATGTGTGTGAAAGTATCCGATAGGCCTGTTAAACAGCACGTAACGAGATTAGTACTAGCATGCTTAGATGTATAATCTGCAGGAAGCAGATTTCACATACGTTCTAATTTTGAGAAGTGGGATTTATTTTTTCTTCACTGCAGGAAGCTTAATTATGGTTGAAACAATTTGGAAACTAGATTTTAATACTGGTGTGGTGTATATGACGAATTCCCGAAAGACTTATTGTTCATGACCGTTTTTTCCGAATGGGACAAATGCCTGAATAGGACAAATGCCCGAATGGGACAAATGCCCGAATGTACACTAGCCCGAAGGCCATTTGCAGAATTTTTTTATTTTTATTTTATATGATTTTCAATCAGTTTATGTCATGTAAAACTATTCTTGATAAAAACAATTTAAAAAAACAAACAATATAAAAGGTAAAATATATAAATGGGAGGGGGAGTGAGACAAGCGTTTCAACTCTTGTAGCAGCATAATATTAACACATAGCTCATTTGTGTCCATTTTTTCACATTAAGTATACGTATTGCTCTTAAATAATATACACATGTATTAGTTTTTCATTCTGAGTAATTAACAAAATAAGTTTAGGGGGGAGTTATCGTTAGACAAACGGTGTAATAAAAAAAATAACATCAACATATTGTTAAACAATCTTTCTTCATTTGCAGTTATTTGATCGATCATGATCGATGTACACAGTAACCGTAACACTAACAATACAACGTCAAATATTATTTTATGGTTTACTCCCCTTTTTAAACTGTTTTACATTATTAAGCTACGTTTCTTTTTTTCGAGACTGGATACATTTATCAACTAGAATAACTCTTACACTGCCTTACAGAGTTTCAATTATTGGACTACTTCCCTTTATTTTTCCTCTTGTATACATAAAAAACAAGTACTGACGTTTTACTCCACCCTGAGTCAGAAAACAATCAAGTATTGCAATATTGTCTGTATGTTTGTCTGTATGTCTGTCTGTCTATCCATGTCTGTATGATAACAAGACAGATAGAGTACCACCTATTTGTTAGTTTTACTAAATTTTATGAGTCAGTATTGAGTTATTACGTCGTTCTCTAACAATTAGTAAAGGTGGTCACGGTGGTCGGGTCGGTAAAGCTCATGGTTGCTGAACCGGTAAGTCCCGAGTTTGAACTCCCAGACAACTGGAGACAGCCATTCTTCCAGGAGAGACAACTCCAAAATCAAACAACTACAGCTATGTAGTTTGTTCTTTTTGAACAAAGTCTACTTAAGCAAATCATGACACAAAAAAAGCTGGATTTGCATTTATGTTACAGTTTAACTCTGTGTGTATGAAAGCTGAATGCAAATTTGAAAGGTTGTTTATTTTTTACGAAACTTAGATAAGTATATTGTATATTTGTTAAATTAAAAAAAAACATAAACCAGGTTAAACTCAAACTAATATGTAAATTTAATGAAAAAAAATTGAAAAAAAAAATGAATGTAAAAGGTAGTTATTGATACTTTAACACAATTATTCTAATTAGAGTTTTTATAAAAAAAACATTCCCATTCAATATGAAATTATTGAATGATTTATAAGTATTAATTTCAATCAAAACCATTGTTGCATTAGGCGTTATCATTATTTATTGATAATATTAATCATCCGGAGAATTTGAGGTTTAGTAATTTGCAAAGTATAAGTCAACAGTTTAAAAATTCAATACTGTGATTTAAGTAAATTTTAGTGGAGATTTGTGATATGTATGAGTTAATAATTTTTTTTAATAATTTGAAAAGTAATAACAAACATCGTGAATGCATTTATAACAATTAGCTGTAAATAAATATTGAACAAACTATATTTAAAAAGGTACAATTCCGACTGCCGAATTATTCTCACAGCTTTCATCGATCTTTAAAGCTTGACAAAAACAAAAGTGTAGCTAGACCAGTGACAAACACAGTTCCCATGAGTACACACATCGACCCTGTTTAAGACATAAACAAACACAAGTGTCAATAAAAAAGTTGTAGATTAGTTTTTAGGTATGAGATCATGTATAAGCAATAGTTACAGTTTAATTGCCTAACTTGAAATTTGATATAAAAACAAACATTATACATATATGGACAGAGCATGTGTGCAACCAGAAGTGAAACACTTTTAGGTTGCTCATATTTCTGATAATTAATATTGTTGCAGGCTAATAGCAAATACCTGCACGTAGTGGAGGGTTACCATTCGTTGTCCGAAAGGTCAAATTTTTCTTTCCATTGAGTTCAATAGGATCCCAGTCATCTGTCAAAATATATGTATATTTAAATATAATTTTTAAATAGAACTTTCTGAATAAAATAAAAAAAAAACACAAACAATAAGCAACATAAAACGAAACATCAGCCTAAACAAAAGGCAACACTAAGCACAAGAAATACAACACACAACACAACCTGTTTTGTACTCTCTGTTTAAGAAAATATAACATTAAATACATATAACTTCACTGTCAAAAAGTAATAGTGAACTTTATTTAGAGAAGCAAAAATTACGAGAAATGATTACTTTCTTTTATACAGATCTATGTACATATTTAAATATATCTTTCAAATTCTTTTAGTTCAATAGTTTTTTTTCCCAAATATAATACATAATTGCCTCTTGCAATTAGATTTAAAAAGAAAAACGTGTTAATTCAACAACCGAATTAAATTTAATGTATTATTAAGCGCTGTAAAATGAAATCATAGAAAATGTTATCAAAACGTAAATAGTTTTAAACATGCGTCGTGTATATTCTAGCAAGTACCATTCAGTCTTTTTCTAGACTTTATTTTCCGGGGGAGGGAGGGGGATTAAAATTTCCGGGTGGGGGGGGGGGGGAAACTGGTAAAGGTGTTTATTTTCTGCTGTATAAATTCTGTTTCTTTCGGCGGTAGACTTTTATCCCCCCTCCCCATCCAAAGAGATACCTGGAATAAACTCTGGCACCATTGCTGGAACTGGCTTAATATCTACACTAATAGTTTACTAGAAGGTAATGTGACTTACCTGGGGTAGTCCGGAGGTCAAAGATGTTGCTTGATGCCACTATTATGCGAGGATGACCTATCGCTTGGCTTAAAAAAAGCAGCCGGTAAAAGTTTATACGCAGTTTACCGTTACGAGTCACATTTACGGTAAAAGCGTATGGTGAACCTTTCTTGCATGAGCATCTATACCCCATTGATTGATCGTTACAGTATTCATAATTGGGACAGAACGACCATATTGGGCACATCTGAAAGAGGTTTCATTAAAAATTAACTGTTTGATACTAACACAGTTAGTGCATCTTCGCCAAAATGTAAAGACAATAAGCAACATTTTACACAAATTTTCAGTTACATGTGCTAAATATAATATTACTACTACTACTATTTTGAAATTTAAAAGCTGAAACATCTACATGAAAAAAAAAATAAACGGGAGTGATCTCCCCTAAACTTTCTCGAATATTCTAATATAACACTATGGGGGATGGCAACTCGGGATATAGACTTCTAGACATAATTTTTAATCCATTTTAATTACTCAAATTTTTAAAAATAGAATATAATCTCGTAGAAAAAAGAAATGCACACCAAGTGAACGCTAAATAAAGATGTGCATAATAGTGCGCAATATTATTAGTACTTTATAAATTTACATGCGTTTTTGAGAAATCGGAAATAGTGTAAATAAGTACTTCCGGTCAACGTAAATTACTCAAAATTTGACAGAAGGTAGAGAATAGATCTTTTACCTACATATCAAATTTCATATATCTATCTGAAATAGTACTCAAGTTATAGGCTTTTGAAAAATTCAAAGTAGAAAAAGTACCACTTCCGGTTATCGGAAATCGCTCAAAAGTTGATACAGATCTACGATTTTGATAAAATACTTATATATGAAATTTCATCAACCTAGCTGTAACGGTACTCAAGTTATCGTGTTTACACACGGACACACACACACACACACACAGACACACAGACATGCGGAAAAGATTGCAAAATTATGTTTTTCCGTATCAGTGAGATGTAAAACGTCGAGATTTGCAAAAATCACGTTTTTTTTTGCACGATTACAAGACTTTCTCTATACTTCGTATATACCAGAAAGTAAAAAAGCTAATGTACAGAAAGATGACATATAAGCGTTATACCTTGACAAGGGAAACAACTAAATTTAAGCTGTAAGTTTTATTTTAAATTTGATATTATACTAAAATTTTAAAACCAATTATTTCAGTTTCTGAAGGTAAAACTGCTATGTCCCGGTTAGTTAAATTTGTGACCTCTTTCCACTTTCTCGTATACGGAGAAGACAGGAGCCAAAAATATTTTTTTTTCAAATTATAGATTGTTTTCTTTTTATGAAATTAAGGTGTTAGTGACAACGATTTTTGAAAAAACAAGTTAATTAAAAAAGTCTAGTGACATTAATGCGCAATTTCCTTGTTATCCAAAAATAGCTCTGACGTATAATGCTGGGGTGCGTTCAAGCTAGAAGAACGATCGGTTTGTAGGTGTTTATGTAATTTTAAAATTTGTGACGGAACGAGAGGATATTTTTGAAAACTTTCTTCGGCAATATTGTTCTAATTTATGGCAGGAATCGATTGGTACATGTTTCAAGTCGCTAAGTGGTCTGGTTGCCGAGATATGGGCCAAAAACTGCATTTTTTCGAGGTTTTTTGGCTTTTCCTGGAAAGACATGAAAGAAACCCGGAATTTTTATGGCCTATGCTCATTCTCGTAACTTGCTTAACATAATTGCTTTTGGGACTAGTCATCGATATTGCTTCGTTGAGGAGGAGATACGACTTAAAGCCCGGACACACATTCATCCATACATTCATTCATTCATCCATCCATTCCCAGAAATGACGAGTTAATAAACGCAATTCTCCATAATGGAAATTGCGCTAAAAAGCAGAAAAAAGATGTCTTGCAATAATCATATTTGGAGCAGAACTAAGACCAGTGTTTCTTAACATTTTTCTCTGATCTTGGGGAGGGGGGGGGGGGGTAGGGCACTTGAAACGCTCAGAAGGTGAAGGTGGACTTAAATTTCTGGTGTGGGGGGAGGGGAGGATGTTGTTCAAATAATGCATTTTCTATATAAATTATACATTTTCGACCCCCCTCCCCTAAAAAAAGGCATAACAAAAAACACCCAATTTAACTGTGACTTTTCATTCTAAATAAAACCAGCAATTAGACTGTGTTCACAAAACTAATTACAAGACAATGTCACGACTCACGGGTACCCAAAATTCTTCCTTCTCATGGCACTCATCAAGAGTATCAAAGAAGCAATACTCAATCTCCAGAGTGACGCAAGGTTTGATCACCACTTCCGGGGGTAGAATCTTGTAAGGCTGCCAAAAATGGCCATTGAGTCGACCCGTGTACCGGCAGTAATAATTGATACAGTCCCTTTCCAGGCCTAGTATAATCGCTACAAACGATTCATTTTTGCACAGGACGACTGTAGAAGTAAGGTAAAGATATAGGCTACAGTTTTGGGATAAGATTTGATTTGTAAAGGATTCCATACACACGCACTATTTTTGTACAGGACGACTGTAGAAGTAAAGTAAAGATACAGTTTATGGACAAGATTTGATCAGTAAAGGATTCCGTTCAACAACCTTCATATTAGCGAAGGTTTTGGGTAATCCAAAAAAGGGTGAAATGCTTAAATTTTCATTGTTTAATCACTTGTCGTTAACAGGTAGATGAAAAGAAATAAGTCTTCTTTTCTTTAAAAAAAATAATTTAATCTGTGGTAACCTCACTATAACTGATGAAAAGTGAAGTTCTCGTGGAAAGAATGAGGGCAAGTTTAAACCCCCTAATAAACATATGTTTTGCATATTAAGGAATAAGAAACAAATGAACAGACGCAACAATTACCAGGAAGAGATAGTAGACAAATCAACAGAGGAAAAATCTTAACGGTAAGAATTAGCAAACCAATCAAACATGGACCAACAACCAACCAAGAAGTAAATACAAATTAACAGAGGTAAAATCTTAACAGTAAGAATTAGCAAACGAATTAATCATGGACCAACAACCAAACAAGAAATAAATACAAATCAACAGACGCAACGATTACCAGGAAGAACTATTAGATAAACTAAGGCAAAATATTAACAGTAAGAAATAGCTAAAACAAATCAACAAAGACAACACCTTACCAGGAAGAAAAAGCAAACAAACTAAGGATATCAGCCTCATATTTTAATGCTTATCTGTTGTGCCTTATAGCTGAGCCATCTGCAACCAAAAATAATTACTTAAAGGGACTTCTTGTTTCATTATATTTTCGGCTAATGCAGTTTTAGAGCCAGAGTTAAGATGCTGATTGTACCTTTACATCAATCGGCGACCTAAACCAAATAGGCTAGACACATTACAAAATTTCGTTCGTACAATGTCAATTAGTCGGACCCATAAATATAAGAACTATTTTTACGACTTGCTAAGCATAAAACCTCACGTTTATATCTTATACCATCATAAATACTAAACATGATTTAAAGCTTTGGTATAAAAACTTAACAATTAAAAAAAAATTATCTGGATATAATTATTCAAAATAAGCATACAATAACTATGAATAAGCCTGTACATTGTATTACCATGTACGTCACTACAATTAGAGATCTAACAAAAAACCAGGTCAGTTACCCCAGACAATGCCTTTGACCCCAAATCATGACCCACTTACCAATTACCTACCTGTAAAATACACTCTGCTAACTACCACCCCTCCCCCTTTTATAGTATACTTACCTATACCTATCATTATCTGTGTGTATCTCCATATCAAGATTCTAATTCATATCCCTAGCCATAACATTAAACAACAACTTATATCCTTAACAAAAACATGTATTATCAAATTGCAAGCATAAACCTTAACAGTAACCCAATACCGATCCTTATCCTCATTAGCATACTTATCCTCGAACTTCTCCTTCACCTTATCGACCATATAGTTGACCTCATCCTTGATCCTATCCTTGAATTTGTATCCTTAACAAAAAAATATTTTAATCCCTAGCATTAACCATAACCCTATCCCAATCCTTATCCTTTTTGGTATTATTATTCTTATCTTCGACCTTATCCTTCACCGTATCCTTTACCCTTTCTTAGGCTTCGTTCTTGACCTTATCCTTGGAATTATAATTGATAATATCCTTGACGTTATAATTTACCTTATCCATATCATTATACGCTTCCTTATGCTTTATCCTCACTTTATCTTTGTCTTTATCCTTACTATATCCTTGACCTTATCCCTGACCTAATCATTATCCTATCAGTATTGTTATCCTTATTCTTATAGTTTTATATCCTAAAACTCAATATTATCCTTAACCTATCCCAGGGGTCGGCAACCTGCGGCTCGCGAGCCGCATGCGGCTCTTTTGGTCTTACGGTGCGGCTCTTCAGCTCGGTGCACAATTATTAATAATTGTTTAATTTATTTTTAAAACTCATAAAATTTTTAGTCTGCAACACTCGGTAATGAACGATTTAATAACAAATATAAACAATAAACACTCGCTATTCTATTAGAATATTTAGTTACTCCCTATTTCAATGTACTTCCTTGTTTTCTAAAGCTGAGTTATTTAAATGTAAACAATGCCCGTGTTTGAATCATATTTATCGAGGCACTGGTTACCTACACTACCGCCTACCACAATGGCGTGCTGTATGAAAGACTTGAGTGTAAGTTAATCTTACTTACTTACTTAATCCTCATCACTCCCTGTGGAGTATAGGGCAGCAACAAATCTCCGCCATTCCACCCTGTCCTGGGCGAGCCACTTTAGTTCATGCCAGGTTTTGCCAGAAGCCTGTACTTCTCTTCCATCTCCCTCCTCCATGTTCCCGGTGGTCTTCCTCTATTTCTCTTTCCGGGTGGGTTCCACTTCAGCGCCATGTTGGGGAGTCTTTTTTTGCTCATGCGTAGGACATGGCCCAGCCATCTCCATCTCCTCGTTCGAAGTTAATCACTCACCGCCTAAATGTCGAGGACGGAAAGTGACGCTCTCGTGAACCCGATTACACTACCGCAGTGGCGCTGCGTACGGCCCCTAGCTCGGTTTAATCATCGTATGTCGTATTGTAGGGTGCTCCTTAAAACTAAGATAGGCGCTTGGTGCTCGCAGGATAACCCTGAGCGCCAAATCGCACCCTGCAGAGAAGCAGGAGGATGAGCCTGATTCGATTTAGTAAGCGACTAAATCGACGCGTGTCTAAAGTGTATAGCCTATTTTTAAAAAACGAACGTAGGCGACATAGTGCTCGCAGGTGAGCCCGGGGCGCTTCGGATCGCGCAATCGACGAGGCGCCGGTGGTTGCACCTGTTGCAGTTTTGCCGCTGAACATAGTAGTACCCCTTACCCGATATGCAGAACGCAAGACACACACACACACACACAAACAAACATTGATATATATATATATATATATATATATATATATATATATATATATATATATATATATATATATATATATATATATATATATATATATACCAAATCCTAAATAAAGATCATAATATTAAAAAAAAGTTTTGGCGGCTCTTTAAAAACTGGGAAATTTTATAGATTTTAACTTTTGGCTCTTCGGACTCAAAAGGTTGCCGACCCCTGACCTATCCATATCCGTATCTCTGTTTCTAAATGACTACCGCGAATGAGACAGAGGGGGGGGGGGTCATGTCATACCTCAGATATTTGGGTTATAGTAACAAGGGGTAATTAACAAGGGAAATCACTGATCTGGAGCTTAATGACGTGGGGAATAAACGGGGAAATGACAAGGGATTGCAACATCTATCTACATTATTAGAACTTCTAGCTGTTAAATCACATTTCTTGTTGTTCAAAAACACAAATGGACTGATATTTCCTGTTGTTCATACGCTACAAAGCTTTATTTCAGTAAACAATTTTGTAAGAGTTTTAAATTGTTTGGGAATCTCCGCCAACAATTTGGACGCGCATTTTAAATAAAAATTGTAATAATATAATTTTGTATTAAGATCTAGGCTCACTTAGATTAACGTTAAAGTTTAGCTGAGCAAAGAAAAAAACATTGTGTTAGTTATCTCTCTCTCTCTCTCTCTCTCTCTCTCTCTCTCTCTCTATATATATATATATATATATATATATATATATATATATATATATATATATTTATGTCGCCCAACCATGCGGGACACCACGCACGCACGCCGACTCTCTAGCCCTCCTCCCGCCCCCTCTCTCGCTTTCCAGGCATGCGCAACAGTGTGTACCCACCCACCCCATTTGGACAACTGTCTTTCTGGAAGTCTTCATCCGTCACTAAACAGTGGTGAATGATACGCCTCGGGTCGGCTCGTATTAATAAAATTGTATGTTTCACCTCAAATGAATCACTTCGTCTTCATATCTTGCTGTTGAGCGTAATTTAGAGACGAAACTCATAGTCTCCCAGACCATGGCGAGTCTCTTGTATGGATGCCAGGTTTAATAAAGTGTGTGCGTGATTTATAAACCTGATAGCATTAAATGACACATTTTAAATTTCATTTGTATATTTCACAAACATATAATATAAATTGCATCACGTTTTTAAACATGCAATCAAACATCGCTATTGCGTTCATAACAATTAACTTCATAACAATGTGAACTAAATATATTTAAAATTTGACAATTCAGGCTGTCGAATTTTTCTAACAGTTTTCTTGACTTAATTGGGAAGATAGGGCCTCCACCATTTCCTTCTATTTCTTCCGATCCCCGGCTTTTAATTTTATCATCTCCCAAGTTATCCCTGTTGGCTCCAGTTCTTCAAGAAGACTCCGCCTCCAGGTCTGTCTTGGGCGCCCTCTTTTCTGCTTTCCCTAGGGGTCTAACAGCTTTCATCGCTCCTTAAAACTTGACTAAAACAAAAGTGTAGTTAAACCAATGACAGACACAGGTCCCATAGTATATAACTTTAGGGTGTTGGGAAATTGCCAGACGCGAAAAGCGAAATGCAGGGCGGTAAACTGCGAGAAGAAAATGCGAGACATACCTGCAGAATCACGGGTAAAATGCGAGGCAAAAATATCACGTGACCGACGGTTTTCGCGCTCTTCTCGCAGTTTACCGCCTCGACTTTTGGTTTTCGCGTCTCGCAATTTCCAACACCCATAGATTTAAGACATAAAATAAACAAAATTGTAGCTAGACCAAAGACAAACACAGTTCCCATTAGTACACACACCAACCCTATTTATAACAAATAAACAAAAGTGTAATAAAAAAAATTACATTCTTGTTGAGGCCACTTGTATTTTCGTCAAAAGTAGAATAGCATTATGCATGACAGCATATTCGGATTCTAGCCCTATGGTACTTTAGATCTGGAAGGCCTGATTATCTGCCCTTACATATTAGCACACATGTTTAATTATAAACATTGCAATCATTTCTGTATAAGAATGCTGCAAGATTTGTAATTGGAGTTGTTCCTTCGATGTAGTCTTCTTTCTACTTTCTTTCAGCCTGTTTTTTCCAACCAAGAACAAACTACAAGGCAGCAGGGTTCGAACACGAGACTTTACGGTTTAGCAAACATGAGCTTAACCGACTCGACAACTCGAGTTCTAATCCGAGTTCATGAAAGTAGAACGTCCTTTAGTACACGCAACTCGATGAGTAACTAACTCAAGTTATGGAAGGCAGAAGAGGGTGGGCATCTTCATATGCCGAGGACTCTGAAAGAGATTCACTCTACTTCATCTGCCCCATGTGTCTTGGGCACGAACGGGTAAAAGATGAGGATGATGATATTAATAAAGTAAGAAAGAACAGTGCTTAAATTAAGCCACAAAAAATGGTTTAAACATAAATAAAAACATGTGTCAATTTCCCTATAAAGAACATTCACCCAGGTTAAATAAATTTTGTCATTTTAATTGTTGTTTCCATTAGTAGTTAAACTACGATGCATGTCTCCAACTTCTACGATACAAATTATACATCTAATTACGACCATATTCATATAAAATAAAACAAGTTAGGCGCAGATGGAAGGTTTATTAAGTTTTTATTTTTTTTTAAATTATTTTTTTATTAATTTATTTATTTTCTACTTTATCTTGTTTCGTATTGTAGAAAGCAATATAGCTATAGTATATATTCCTTGGTAGTATTATTCCCTCAATAATCGATTCCGAAACATAGACATCGTGACTCGAGGGGAATCGATTCCCCGAATATAT